TGACGTTCTTCTTTTCAATTAAACAGTTATGGTAAATTATCTTTTATCATTTAAAAATTATATTGTCGACAATAATTGAGAGGCTCTAATAAACGGATTCGAGCTTATTTCGCCGCTATCGCATAAAAGCTGTAAAATATTGAACACGAGAAACAAATGTTTTTCTTCAAACTTTATTATCTTGTTTCTTGCCAGATTCTTATCCTTTTGATCGGGGTTTTACCATTGCACAATTGCCGTTTTGCCGTGAACATGCTTTTCCAAGGTTTTGTAAGAATTCCTAGAGGAGAACGTTAGTTTCTCTGAATTATGTGCAAGATATATAACATATAAACACACACATATATTATATATATATATATATATATATATATATATATATATATGAACATGTTGTGTTTTATATATAGCTTCTATCAATGTTAGGAATCTGAATTTTAAAATACAATAAATAAAATATCTAATATGAAAATAAATCTTACGGGTTTCAACTATCGGGGAACAGAGCGTGAAGGGATTGCCAGTATAACCGGAAATGCAAGTACAAATCGGTAGATGATTAACGGATTGGCATTGAGCATTCACGCCGCATGTTCCTGGGCAAGGGTCTCTGCATTTCAGGCCCACGCACGCCATTCTTGTCAAACAGTCAGAATTTTGCGTGCACTCGGGTCTGCATTCTTGGTAGGGGTCACCTATGTAGTCCGGCGGACAGGTGCACGAACCAACGCCATTGTTCTCGCGGCAGACGGCATTGAGACCACAAGGGGAAGGCTCGCATGGTTTTCTAATGTCTAGGGGCATATTTAATATAAAGAAATTTCGTTTAGACTTAATCGAACATGCAGTATTTTCCTTCCAAAGCTGGTGCTAGGCTGAGGGATTCTTTGACTTTCGTCGGTTCTCCCTCGCGCTCACATTTTCGCATTGATTAAATCAAATTCCTAACAAGCAATAAGCCTTTTATGGTAGTGCGACGTAATAGCTTTGCGTAGTTTAATGCTGGGTTATCGGTTGATGAATTTCTCGGAGAGTCTATCGGTTTTAATTTCTGTGATCTTCTACCAACAATCGTTTCATCAAGCGTGTTCGATCTTCCATCGAATTAATTAATCAAGTTAATTACAAGGTGCGGGACATGGTTGACAATATATTTGGGGGGGGGGGACGGTTATCTTATTTTGGGATCTACATTGTAATGGGGGGGAGGGGTTTCAGAATTTGTTAAAATTATTTCTCTAGGGTTTGCGCTCTTTCTTTGCAGTGACATTTTTGCGTTATTGGTTTATTCGATTTATTATGGTTTAGAACGATATGTGCAGCATGATTATTGGGAGGTCCACAGCATATGTCAAAGGTCAGAGTGCTCTTACATGTAAGTGAGTCTTTAACGGATTCGCTTTGATAGGGCGGTGCGTGCAGTAAACACTTCAACAATTAATCGCAGGGATTGGAGTTCTATCGCTTAGTTGCTCAGTGTCAATTATGGGGTAAGTGCAGCCAAGAGCCTATTGGGTATATAGGCCCCGCCACCAGTTTTGTGACTACCTGTCATTGTTTTCCTGCATTATTAGATTTCTGGGTCAGTACGCTCAGGCATGGGGATGATTGCGTGCCGCATTGTTTTTCAGTTAATTGTAGGGACTCGGGGACACACACATATAATCCTGATGTTATTGACTTTTAATTGGGGATAAGTGCAATTACGAGCCTAAATATCTGTAGGCCCCACCACCTAATACACGTGGCTTGTTATGTAACCTTCTGTTAGATCTCTTTGCGACTGTGTGCTACTGTCACACGCATATTTTCGCATTTTATGCAAAATGATTAAAATATGACAAGTTTCGATAATACGTCTTCTAAAATTATATAGGCACATGTCTAATAATAACGGGACAGGACGGTGATATTTGTCGAACAATTTTTCAAATTTAGCTCATCTTCAAAACAGTCGGTCATACTCTAATATCTAGAACGATCTCTTGGGAAAGATTTTAGCAAATTGCAAGATTTTTAACCGCTAACTTTGAGCAGCGGTATTGTTTAATAAAAAAAAAAAACAATCATGAGCTACCGTCTTGACTTATTACCATTAGTCATTATATGGGAACAGAAGCACTTACCTGCCGCGCCCCGCGCCTGCATGCGAATGGCGACATTGGCGGGAGGAATCGTAACAAGAAGAAATAAAAATATAACAGTTGTGTACTCACCCTCGGGTACTCGTTCGCAAGCGCTGAATGGATTTCCGGTGTATCCGGCGATGCACGCACAAACCGCATGATGATTCACTACCGAGCACTGAGCGTTCAAACCGCACAGACCGACACACGGATCGCGACATTTTTGTTGCATGCACGCTAACTGCGGCGGACACTCCGGATTAATCGTGCACTCCGGTCGACAATTCGGTGGTAAACCGACGTAATTTTCAATACAGGAGCACGCAGGACTGTCACCTCTCACTTGACACTCTGCGTTCGGTCCGCAAGGCGATGGCAAACACGGGTTTATCGGCGTAGGTGGTGTTTCTATAAAAGAATGTTTAAATAAAACAATTTAGCATATAATACTAAAACATCCAAAATAAAATATACAGGTACAAGATTAAAAAATTAATGAGAACAAGTACAGATTTTTCTTTAATAATTTGTGTCACATTAATATTAATTAAAAATTTATGCAAATTTATATTAATGGAAATATAATAATGTGTAGACACCACATTAATAACTTTAGCCATTTTAACATCTCGAGCAATTTAAAGGCTCTTACGTTATTATTTCTTATAATCACCAACCGATTGCAATCGATCCAAATACAGATATAAAATATTAAATTTGTTAATGCTCTAATATCTAAATGACTTACTTGGTTGCGGATAACATATGGTGAAAGGATCGCCTGTGAAAGACTCAGAGCAGCTGCATATAGGATTATGATTGACCACTTGACAGTTCGTATTCTGTCCGCACGTGCCTGGACATGGATTTTGGCATTTATTATTCAAACACGCTTGTGTCAATGGACAGTCCGCGCTGACGACGCATTCTGGTCTGCAAGCGGGTGGACTACCAATTAAACCAGGCTGACACGAACATACAGCATGATCGCTCACGACTTTGCAGATGCTGTTTGGTCCACAAGGTGAAGGTGTGCAAGGCTTAATTGTTTCTGTAAATAAGTTGCGAATAATAGTTATCAGAAGTAATAATGTAAATATATCGTAAAACATAGTAAAAAATATAAATAGTTTCCGTTTTATATAGAATATACTAAAAAATGAATAAAAGATAAACATAAAACTATGTAAAAATCATTATATACCTACATTCTAATAATTAATATATTAAAATATATTGAATCATTTTAATTTTATTTTATTTGTTGTATTTGTATTTTAAACATTTATATATACATATTCTCTCTCCCTCTCCCTTCCTCCTTTCCTCTATATATATAAACTTACTTTCCGGTACGTGTGGTCGACACAGAAGGAACGGATTTCCGGTGTAACCAGGCGGACAGCTGCACATTGGGACGTGATTGACAACGTCGCAACGTGCATCACGACCGCACGTGCCTGGGCAAGGATCCACGCAGTTTTGATTGATGCAAGCTTTGATGCGAGGACAATCTGAATTCATTGTGCATTCCGGCCGACAATATGAGTACGGATCCCCGAAGTAGTTAGGCAAGCATCTGCACACACCTTCGTTGCATTCCGCGTTGGGTCCGCATGGTGACGGATTGCACAAATCTTCGGGAACCTTTGGTTGTTCTGCAACATTAATTTATCACGCTTACATATTAATAAAGAAAATTACATAAAAAAAATCTAAGAAAAGAAAACTTTTTATTTTACTGCTCTTGTAAAACAGATTTATACAATGTAATGTAATTATGATTAATTATCAAATATGAATTAATAATATTTAAAGTTGTATTTATTTCTACTGAATAAATTATCTATATTTAGATTTTGGTAAAAATTTTTATAAAAAGCTCGATTAAGGAAAAAATTTATCTGTTTTTTCAATAAAGTATACAAAGCCATTTTTAGAAATGTACGTGAGAATACGCACCTTGAATTACTGTGCACAAGGAGAAAGGATCGCCGGAATATCCAGGTTGACACAAGCACACTGGTATGTGGTTCTGTACTCGACAATCAGCATTCTGACCGCAGGAGCCAATGCAGGGATCGCGACATTTTTCCGAGATGCAAGCTTGATCCGATGGGCAATCTGTGTTAACTACGCACTCTGCGCGGCAGTTGGGTGGTATTCCTATGTAATTTTTCAAACAAGTGCACGCGGCCTGATCGTTGACTACTTTGCACTCTGCGTAGAGCCCACATGGGCTAGGGAAACAAGGGTCCACAGGCGGTAGTGGTACAACTAAAAGATTAAACATACATATGATTGTAATGATATAATGACATATATCTAATTTTTTAATACTATTATTCTTACGTACGTAAATAAATAAGCAAAACATGTTCAAGTTAATTAAATATCAGGATAATTACCGGGTTCAGGGAAACATCTAGAGAAGGGGTCGCCCGTCTTTCCTTGTGGACAACTGCAGAGTGGATTATGATTGATAACACGGCAATTGGCTTCGATTCCACACGTACCGGGGCACGGATCGACACATTTATACTTGTAGCATGCTCTATTTTGCGGACACTCCGAATTGACGACACATTCCGGCTTGCAATTCGGCGGGACGCCTACGAAAGACTCTTGACACGTGCACACGGCTTGATTGTTTACAGCGCGGCATAAGCTGTTCGGTCCGCAGGGTGAGGGCGAGCATGGATCCCTGACGGTGGGTTCAGTACCCGCTTCCGGTTGAAGGGTGCAAATCGTAAATGGATCTCCGATGTATCCCGGCTCGCAGGTGCACGTAGGAATGTGATTGATCACTGAACACTGCGCTCGAACGCCGCACACCCCTGGACAAGGATCCTTGCATTTGTTGCGAACGCAAGCCTTGTTCGTAGGGCAATCCGCGCTGAGGACGCATTCCGGTTGACAGCCTTCGTAAGGATTTCCTTGGTAGTCATCGATACATATACAAGCGCCAGCGTTATCCCGTTGCTGACAGATCGCGTTGGAGCCACATGGCGAAGGTTCGCACGGATTCATCGGTTCCTCTGCAAAAAAAAAATTGTCCAATATTTAATTAGCTCAAAAAATGTAATATCTTTATGAAGCGAGCAGCAGAAATGTAAAAATATTTCCGTTATAAAATAATTCTAGAAAAAAATATTTAATTCAAGAAAAATGTTGGCATCTTGCTGATAAAATAAATATGAGTCAAAATAAGTTACAAATAAACGACGTACCTTCTAGCACGCATTGCACGAACGGATTACCAGCGTAGCCAATCTTACACGAACAAGTCACTGCGTGATTGACCACTTTGCACTCAGCATTATCCCCGCAGGATCCCGGGCAGGGATCCTTGCATTTCATGTTTATGCAGGATTTTTGCGGGGGACAATCAGGATTGATCAAACACTCCGGCCGACATGAGGGTGGAGTGCCGATGTACGTGGGCAGACATGAACATGATGGTTGTCCATTTGCGTTCTGACAAAGCGCATTTGGTCCGCATGGCGAAGGATTGCAAGGATCACCCTGATCCTTAGGCTCCGGTGGTACTGAAATGTTGAAACATTTTGTATTTAATAGGCCAATTTATTTTATTCAAAACCATTGCAAACATCTTTTGCATTTATTATAATTTAAAAAATTAGTGAAATCGATCGTTGTCGCACAATTCTTAATCATTATTGAAATTATACATTATACCATACAATCTATTGATAAAAAATTATTAAACATTCATTTTATTAGTGATGTAATAATTTTTCTTACGTGGAATATCGTAACAACTCCTGAACGGATCTCCAGTCTGTCCGGGTAGACAACTGCATATCGGCGAGTGGTTGATCACTTCACATCTCGCATTCAGGCCGCAGGAGCCCAGGCATGGATCTGTGCACTTCTTGTTTACGCAGGCTCGCGTTGGCGGACATTCGGAGCTAACGAGGCACTCTGGTCGGCAGGATGGTGGGGAACCAAGGTAGCCTCGAAGACAAGAGCATACAGCGTGATCTTCGATATTGCGACATTGACTGTTCGGTCCGCAGGGCGAGGGCGTGCACGGATCCTCTCGAGATTCCGGCACTGCAGACAAATTAATTTCGCAATTAATACAAGCTGACTTTAAAAATTTGTGGAATATAAAAGATATAATTATAATAATTACGTCGATTGAAAGAAAAAGATAACTTTTCTTGCATACCTCTAGGTTGAACACGGCAATTAACGAACGGATCGCCAATATATCCGGATGGACAGGAGCAGACAGGAATATGATTCACTACGTCGCATCGCGCGTTTTGACCGCATATTCCAGGACAAGGATCCTTGCATTTGTTCTTTAGGCAAGTTTTGTCGCGGGCACATTCCGAATTAAGTATGCATTCGGGACGACAGGCCTCGTACGGATTACCGATATACTCGGGCAAACATCTACATTCGCCATTGTCGCATACGGCGTTCGGACCACACGGGGATAGAGCGCAAGGGTCAATGGATGGTTGTTCTGTAACTGCATAGATAAAACGTTCGTGTTAAAGATAAATTATTAAATCAAACTGTCATGATTTTTGTTGCAATTAATTTTTCGCAAAGCAGCTGATACTTATAATACGTTACTGTATATTTTTACCTGGTGGAATAATGCTGCATTGTGTAAATGGATCTCCGGTGAAACCTTCCATGCACGTGCAAACTGGCAGATGATTTAATACGTGACATTGAGCGTTTATTCCGCACGAGCCTGGGCACGGATCCGCACATTTCTGATTGACACATGCGAGGTTGCTCTTGCATTCGGAGCTTAAGATGCATTCTGGTCGGCACTGCGGCGGTACGCCAATGTAATTTGGCATGCAGGAGCAAGCAGGATTGCCAGATATTATTTGACACAAGGAATTTGGACCGCAAGGTGATGGAGTGCAAGACGGCGGTCGCTCAGTCGGGATAACTGTAGGAACTGAAAAATTGTTATTGTATATCTTTATGTCCAAAAGAAATTTACGTATAATTAATGTACATCAGTAACATTTCTTTTTCGCAAATTAATAAATATATAAAATATTGTACACTACGTAAAAATGCGATATTAAAAACTTATACAACGTAAATGTAAAAAGTAATACAATTTTATCTAAGCTGAATTTTTAAAAATGTATTTATTGACGCTAATAACAAAAATATAAAATATGTATAATACTTACTATGTGGCGAGCAGAAAGTGAAAGGATCTCCTGTGAAACCGGCAGGACAAGTGCAAATTGGATTGTGGTTTTTAGTTATACATTGCGCCCTCAATCCACAGGTATTCGGGCAAGGATCTGCGCATTTCTTATTTATACATGCTAGATGAGGTGGACACTCGGCATTAACAATACATTCTGGCCTGCACGATGGTGGAATGCCTCTGTACTCTGGTAAACAGGTGCATACAGCCTGACCGTTGACAACTCGGCATTTACTATTAGGTCCACAAGGTGATGGAGAGCATGGTTCTACTGTTTCTAAAGAAAATAACATTGCATTTCTCATAAATTTTTAATTTTATACAAAAATTATGTTTTAAAAAAATATTTATCTAAAAAGTACGATCTTTCAATAATGATTACGATTAATAATAGTGTCGTATTACTAAACGTAGTAATTATTAGCATTATTTATAATTTTTTTAAATGTAATTAATAATTATTTTTCATTTACTAATTTACAATTCCATCCTCAATTTATAATTCCATTATCTATTTATAATGCTATTTATCATTCGTAATTATTACATAAGATAATATTATTATATAAATTAAGTATTAAATAATAAATACTTACTTATCATCTCCTTGATTTCGCAAGCGAAATACGGATCTCCGGTATATCCTGGTGGACATACACAGACAGGAACGTGCGCTTGTACATTACAGATAGATAACGTTCCACACGTGTTTGGACACGGATCTTGGCATTTGAAGCTAACACATGCCAACTGTGGTGCGCAGTCATTGTTCGTTTCGCACTCCCTGTGACATCCCCTGATGATATCGTAAGGATCACCTATTAGGTCTGGTGGACATCCGCAAGCACCTGCTCCGTTCCTTTCGCGACATTGCGCGTTGGGACCGCAAGGATTCGGCGAGCACGGATTCGGAGTCCTCTCTGTCGCTACAAACATATAAAATAAAAATTTATAATATTTATACATAATGCTTGTTGCGGATGCAACAAATTCAACGGCAAGTCGGCGTTTGAGAGTTCAGTCACCCATGTTTACAGCACGTGAGAAGCGTTTACAGCTCCTTTGAGAAGCGTCGTGCTAATAGGAGTGTGCGACTCTTACCGTCGTGAGAGCCGAACTTTCCGATGCCGACTTTACCATTTTGAATTTGTTGCATGTACAACAATATTCTAATGCTCTAACATCTTGTTCGACAATCTATATAATTCTATGAATCAGAATTTCTACTCACCCGGAGACGCTGGGACGCAGCGCACAGTGGGATCGCCTTCATATCCTTCCGGACAAGTGCAAATCGGAACGTGATTCTGCACTGTGCACCTGGCAATTTCGCCGCAAGCACCAGGACAGGGATTCTTACATCTCTGATTGATGCACGCTGCGGTGTTAAAGCATTCCGAATTGTCGGTACATTCCGGTCTGCAGTTCGGTGGCCGGCCGATGTAGTTTTGCAAGCAGGAACATGCTGGATGCGAGCCGATCACTCTGCACTGCGAGTTCGGGCCGCACGGATTCGGCAAGCAGGGATCTTCTTCCCCTTTCGGCACCGGCGGCGGGGTGCTGATTCTGGTGCAATGAACAAATGGATCGCCGGAGTAGCCGGTGGCGCAGCTGCAAATCGGATTGTGATTCACCGTAAGGCAATTCGTGTTCTGTCCGCAAGAACCTGGACACGGGTCCGCGCACTTGTTATTGATGCACGCCCTGTTCTGCGGACATTCAGAGCTGACAATGCAACCCGGTCGGCAGGTCGGCGGGACTCCGGAGAATCCTGGCTGACAGAGGCACACCGCATGTCCGTCGTGCGTTCTACAATTGCTGTTGGGTCCACACGGTGACGGATCGCAGGGATCGATCGGCACGGGCAACGGTGTTACAACGATGAGGCTACAGCCGTTCACCGGATCTCCGGTATAACCCGGCAAGCAGGAGCACATCGGAGCATGATTGACCACGCGGCAAGTGGCGTCCTGGCCGCACGTGCCGGGGCACGGATTGACGCATTTGTTGTTCAGACAGGCTTTGCTGCGGTCGCAATCGGCGTTGGTCACGCATTCGGGTCTGCAGGCGATGTACGGATCGCCAAAGTATTGCGGCAGGCACGTGCAGGATCCAACGCCGTTTCGTTCGTTGCACACTGCGTTGGCGCCGCACGGAGACGGATTGCATGGGCTGCGTGGTTGCTCCGTCGTACTGGGAGCTGGAAACAATTATAATTATTTATCAATAAACAAAAATAACTGTGCATCAGTTGAACACGTTGCGAGGTCTTTACAAACAAACACGTACCTTCTACAATGAGTATACACTCCGTGAACGGATTGCCCGTGAAACCGCCGTTGCAGATGCAGACGGGATTGTGCTTTACGACATTGCAATATGTGTTGACGCCGCAAGATCCTGGACACGGGTCCACACACTGTTCGTTCTGGCATGCCAAATTTCCAGGGCATCCTTCGTTTATGACACACTCGGGACGGCAATTTGGTGCGCGGCCCACGTAATTCGGTAAACATGAGCATGCCGGGAAGCCGTCGATTACCCGACATTGGGAATTCGGTCCGCATGGCGAGGGAATGCAAGGATTACCGCTCGGTTCCGGAATCAGTTTTACTTCTGTTATAATTACGCATCAATACATTAGGACAGTTGCGTGTATTAAATCCTTATTAATTTCTATTCCAAGTACAATAATTCGAGTAATCCAAATAATGAGAAAATATTAAAAATGTACATAAATTATTCAAATTTCCAATATCTGGATAATTTATGTACATTTTTTAGATTTTCTCATTAGTTGAATTACTCGAATTATTGGACTATAAATTTATAAAAATAAAAGTTTCAATACAATTACTAAAAAAATTTTGAAACTTACCTTCCTTAACGCAACCGAAGAATGGATCCCCGCTATAGCCAATCGCGCAGATGCAGACTGGATTATGATTGATTACCCGGCAGTCCGCATTTACACCGCACGTGCCTATACATGGATCCTTGCACCTTTGATTGATACACGCCGTGTTCGGACTACAGTCCGTACTGACTACGCATTCTGGCCGGCATGATGGTGGACTGCCGATGTAATTAGGTTGACAGGAACATACCGCGTGATTATCGATAACGCGGCAATTGCTATACGGGCCACAAGGAGATGGTTGGCATGTGTCGCCCGGTATTGAAGGCTCTATAAGAAATACATAAATTATATATCGTTTAAGATCCTTCTTATTTACGGCTATGTCAGAAACGTTCAAAAAATATCATTGACGTACTTAATGGTATGTGGCAAGACGTAAGTGGATCTCCGGTATAACCAGAGAAGCAACTGCAGGATGGTTGATGATTATAAACTTGGCATTCCGCGTTAATTCCACACGCCCCCACGCACGGATCCTTGCACTTGTTGTTAATGCAAGCTTTCGTGTGAGCGCAATCCGAATTCTGAACGCATTCCGGTCTGCAGCCCTCGTAGGGATCGCCAGTATAATCGGGCAAACAAGTGCACGATCCCGCGCCATTACGCTCTTTACACACGGCATTCGTACCGCATGGCGAAGGATCGCATGGCAATTGCACTGGGAAAACAGCTACAAAACAAATGTGTTTATTCAGAATGTGCAACGACAATATATCAATTTAAGATGGCTAAGATTTTTAAAAATCTTACCTTTGGCGCAGCCTGAGAAAGGATCTCCTTCGTAGCCTTCGTAACAATGACAGATAGGTCGATGATTCAGCACCGTACAGTTCGTGTTAAATCCGCACGATCCAACGCATGGATCCAAACATTTCTTTTGAATGCAAGCCAAAGAGCTAATGCAGTCCTGATCGATCACACATTCTGGCCTACAATTCGGCGGTGCTCCGAACATACCACTGATGCACGTGCATATCGGATGATCCTCTTGGACGCGACAATCAGCATTAGGCCCGCAAGGCGATGGCAAACAAGGATTTGTTGTTGGCGGTAAAGGTTCTGAAAAAAAAAATACAAGACAAATTAAATAATATTTCGAAAAGCTTTTTCACATAGCTCAGCAATGAATACATTACTTATTTAATTCACAAAAAATGCTACTATACGTTTTTCATTATAATATAATTTTTCTCATTCTCAGAAAGTTTTGTTTTAATTTAACTACTGATCGTATCTTACTTCCTATATAATTAACTTCCTATACAATAAGAAGCTGAGAGAGAAACCACACTCTTTATTTAGATAGAGATCTACTATTAAACTGAAATACGCTAACATATGTATATTACCTTCCTTGACACAATGTGTGAATGGATCGCCAACATAATGGCGAGGACAACTGCAAATCGGGTTGTGATTGATGACCTGGCAATCAGCGTTCAAACCACACAGTTCTGGGCAAGGATCATTACACTTTTGATTAATGCAAGCCAGATGAGCAGGGCATTCCGTGCTGACGAGACACTCCGGACGACAATACGGCGGAGTGCCTTGATAACCCGGACTGCACGAGCAAACTGCACGATCGTTCATTACGCGACAGATACTGTGTGGACCGCATGGCGATGGCATACACGGATTCTGGTCTGGCACTACTACAAAAAATGCAATCGAATCATTTCTTGTTATATTGATATTTTGTTCTTACATTTAATATAAATCTATAATTTATCTTTTATTTATAACATTTATATTTTAGATTAAGATATTTATTAATATTAAAATAAAATTTGGTGAAGGAAACATATATAAAAGTTTTGAAACATACAAACTGACAAATTATTGTTAAATATTTTAAATTTAAGAAGAAATGTTTGGTTGTTTAAGTTAACACAATATTGCGTATAACAAAGAAAACAAAGCACACACAAGATTTAAATATAAATTGAGAGAAATATATGTTCACATACAAGGTCTCTCTACTTTGCAGGCTCTGAACGGATCTCCGGTATATCCTGGCAAACAAGAACACATCGGAAGATGATCGACGACTTCGCAATGCGCATTACCACCGCACACGCCTGGGCATGGATCTCTGCAATGCTGATTGAAACAAGCTAGATGACTTTCGCAATCCCGATTAATGATGCACTCAGCTTCGCAACCGTCTATATATGGATTGCCAACAAATGGCGGTATGCATGTGCATTTGGCTATGCCATCGATCGCTGTGCAAATAGCGTTTTTGCCACATGGTGATAATAGACAAGGATCGTATGGTTCCGTTGGTCGTGCTGCAATAATTAATAGAACGTTGATTGTTTAAATGTTTTATTATAATTATATGTATTATTCAAGACGTTTATTGCAGAAGAAAATACTTCCTAACTTAATATTATAAATTTATATACAAGATAATAAAAGAGATAAAGCAATTAAAATAATTTTTTTTAATATAAAAGTTTTTAAAAATTAAATTAGTAAGCTCCAAGTTTTCAAAAGTTCAAAGAATCAAAAGATAAACTCAGTTAGTTAAAAAATTATTATCCACAATTTTCAAGATATAATTTTTAATCATATTTAATGTACCAATAAACTTTTATATTATTATAATAAATAATTATTATAATTAACTCTTCATTTTATATTACTTAATTATTGATATAATTATTATTAATATAATAATTACCTCCGCAACTCTTATATGGATTTCCGATCGTGAGATCTGGGCAGTAACAAGGCGGTACTCTCGTGCTATTGCATCTCGCCCCATAGCCACACGGATTAAATTCGCACTGGTCGGCTTTCGGCACACATCCTCTAATAGTATTAGGACTTTCAATGTATCCAGATAGACAGGTACACTTCGCGAAGCCATTGTCCAACACGGAGCAGCGTGTATTGGGTCCGCATGGAGAAGGATCGCAGGAGGTACTAGGAAGTGTACAGGGGAAATGTGGTGGATCACCTTCATATCCTGGTAGACAGAAGCACTTCACCTGTCCATTCACCACCCGACATCCTGAATTGGCGCCGCAAGGATTACCTTCGCATTGATCACCTTCGGGAACTAGACACATTAAAAAAGATTGATTAAAAGATTAATTTTCTTTACATTTTGTTATATTGTTAGATTATTTACATTTATAATTTGAAGCATAGTTAATATTACAGTATTATATTATACTTGATAAAAAATGTATACGTACTGCATTTATCGAACGGACTTCCGGTTAGACCTTTCGGACAGAAACAGACGGGATTTCCATTGTCATTCTCGCATAAAGCGTTCAAACCGCACGGATTTGGAACGCAAGGATCGACAGTTGTCACTATCTCTTGACAGCCAACATGAGGATTGCCTTGATACCCTGGAAGGCATATACACTGCGCTTGATAATTACTGGAGACGCACTTCGCATTATCTCCGCAATCAAACTCGACGCAGGGATTGATGCACTGTCTGTTAAGTCGATCGCAATATTTGTTCGGAGGACAATCTTCGTTATATTGGCAAATATTCTTCGTTTCTTCCACTGAAATAATAGAATACACAAATTTATGTTTTTAATATTTATGTATTTATTATATATTAATTATGTATTTATTTTTAACCAATTTGGAACTGAGAAAATGTTACAATTAGATGTAAATTTTACATTTCTTCATTTATGACTATTATGTGCACTAATAATTTGCAATAGATTTTCAACTGTTCTAAATATTTAAGAAAATAATATCGATTTATATCAAGTAATTCATCTATGCACTTTATTAATTTACAATATAAATTATTAATATTTCATTAAAACTTACGCAAATCGCAATAAGAGAATCCATTTCCGTGATAGCCTTCTTCACAACTGCAGTCCGCTCCGTGATTTGTATTAATACAAACAGCGTGTTCCGCACAGGGATTCCGTACTAGGCACGGTTCTTGGCAAGTGTGCCCGATGCACGCTTCTGTCAGAGGGCAATCCCTGTTGCTAGTGCAACCCGCTAAAGAAAGAGTGAGAAAGCCCATATAGCCCCAGGAAGTGTAGTGCACAAGTATAAGAATTGAAATAAAAGAAATTCTCTTTGCGTAATAAATGTGTGATTTTCTTGATTTTTATGTGCAAAAAAAGTATGCGAATCATCGACCGAGAGAAACACATTCTCTGAGATGGAGAGATGTATTTAGAAAGAATATGACGCATATCGCAATGAAATCATTCTTCGTGATCATGCACGACAGTTATAATGAGACTGAATATTTTGTGCTTTGTATAAAGAGGGTCTTATGTATATAATTTGCGAAATATGTACGTGAAATATGTACAGTACATACATATTTACAAATCTCTCGGCTATAAAAAGAAACTGAAAATAAAATCAGATGAAACCAAGCACAATACTGGCGATAGTACGAACCTTTGATGCAAGTGTTCGTCGACGGGTCGCATAGCAGACCAGGCGGGCAATAAGGACATTCCGCTTCGTTAGTTTCCACTGAAAGAATTTTTATAAAATAATATATGTAAAATATATATTTTTTTTAATGCGGAAAATGCTATGTGCAAGATGCTATTCAATTTAATTGCAAATGTACCTTTAACGCAGACCGGTCTATGATACTGTACATGGCAATCTTCGACGAAATCGCATGGATTACCCAAAGTGCAAGGATTCACGCATTGATGATTTACACAAGCCAATTGGATGGGACAGTCGTTGTGCGTTGTACATTTCACGTCTAACGAAACAAATGTACATTAGATGAAAGAATTAATGTTACGAAAACGCCATGAAATGTTAATGTACATGTCCCAACAGAAAATCTATTTGACCTTAATTTTAACTGCCATCTTTATATGTTCTACCAAAAAAACGGCAGTTATGAAACAATACACATTTACTTAGATCTATCACATGGGTGTTGTCAGTGCATATATAAACATGAATATATATAAATATAAATACACAAGGACGATGTACTCTTTCCTTTAAAACATATAATGATATTTGTGTTACATGTGTCAAGTATAGCAACTAAAAAAAGACATTAATGTGTCTGCCTCAAACGAAATCATCTTTCATGAACACTCTAAATTTATTCATAATAATTCTAATCTGACTTTTGTGAAAAAAGTTTCTTTGTAAACGACATATCACAATACGATATTTATATCGTAAGTTTGCATGAGAGATAATTTCCTCTTAGTGCAGACAACTGAAATTGCAATTCATTATACATATGTTAGATATACAAAGAAAAAGCTGTAAGAGAGAAATCGTGCATAAGCGTTAATGTACATCATGCGTAGAGCGCTAATGCAGCAGTCCTTTGTCTGCATTTGGGAAAGCAGTGTCTGACTGCTTTTTGACAATTTTCAATTTTCGGTCATCACATAAGACAGATAGAGATTCGATTCCGAGCGATGAACCGCCCTTATGGTATCGATTGCATTTTCATTCATGAATATACACACCGATGAGCCATTTCGTGAAATAACTGATTCGGAAAGCAGTGGTCTACAAACTCCAGAATTGATTATTCTCAATTTTCATCTGGATACGATAACATGATTCCTCGCACACTGGAGGAAGCTTGTAGAGAACATCGGTGGACAGTAAAACATAAAATGACACCACACAATTACGAAACTTCCGACAAGAGAAATTTTTACCTGGGAGTACGCTACAGTTAGACGTACTCTGCTCGGTACTTGAGTCTAAGCACACAGGCCGATGATTTACAACGTCGCATAAAACATTCTCTGGACACGAGTTGTCAGTTTTGCATGGATTCCGACAAAAACCATCGATGCAAGTTTCGCATTCTGTACAATCTGTAGATAAGGTACAAAACATATCTGTTTTATTCTGCAGGATAATTTCAGAAGTCGTATAATATTCTGTAGTTAGATAATGCTCTGTGGATTTTTCGGATGTAGTAAGTTGCTCTGTGGTAGAATATTTTTCTGTGGAGTATTCGGTTGTACTATATTGTTGTGTTGGCTGCATAGATGTGGTAAATTGTTCAGGCGGATATTCAAATGTGCTGTGTTGTTCTGTAGTAGAGATTTGTTCTGTTGGTTCTTGTGACGTAGTAAATGATTCTGTTGTGAAAGATACTTCTGTAGAATACTCAGGTGTGCTGTATTGCCTCGTAGTGGAAATTTGTTCCGTAGATGGAACAAATGTAGTGTATTGTTCTGTTTGCTCTGATGTCTCATATCGTTCTGTAGTGGAATGCGCTTCCGTATAATATTCAGATGTGCTATAATACTCTGTAGTAAAGATTTGTTCCGTAGACTCTTCAGTTGCGTTATACTGTTTCGAAGTAATGTATTGTTCTGTGGGCTGTTGCGATGTGGAATATTTTTCTGTAAAATACTCAGACGTGTTGTATTGCTCTGTAGAGATTTGTTCGGTAGATTGTGCAAATGTAGTATATTGTTCTGATGTCTCAGGTTGTTCTGTAGTAAAATGTTCCTCCGTAATATGTTCCGACGTGCTATAATATTCTGTAGTAGAGATCTGTTCCGTAGGTTTTTCAGTTGTAGTATATTGTTCTGTCGAATATTCCTCCGTAGTAAAGTGAGATGTGACGTATTCAGTGGTAGATTGTTCTGTTGTAGAAATATCAGTGTCTTTATGAGAAATGCTAACATCAACATTTGTCGTAGGAGACTCAAATGTAATTGTAGAAAATGGAGTAGTGTCTTTTACATAAGGCTCAGTTGTAACAAAGGAACTAGTTTCGGTAGTGCTCCATTTTTGTGTAATTTCTTTGGCAGTATCATGTTCAATATTTACTGTAGATATTTCGGTGTGCTCTAAGATATTCGGGGATGACATCATGTGATTTACTTGCGTAAAAAATGTAGTAGTCATTGCGCTAGTGGTACTTTCTATATGTGATTCAGTAATTTCTTGTAACGGGTTTACTGTTAATTCTGTGGTAGTAGAATATTGCGTAGTAAAAGATTGTGTAGTTGTTGCTATTGTGGAGGTTTCTTCACCACTTACATTAGGAACGTTTGTGGTAGGAACTGTAGTTATATTCTCAGGAACTTCAATAACGCTACTTGCTTCCGTTGGCTTAGAAATCATTATTTCAGTGCTCATATCAGATACAGTAACATCAGTAATCTCGGTATAGTTGAATGTAATTGGAGAAATGGCAGTGACATTTTGAAAGACAGTCGTTCCAGTTATTTCGGTTGTTGTAACATTTTCTCCATAGCCAAATTCAAATTCGCTCTTTGTTGTCTCAGTTACAGTAGAAGACACATTTTCTGTAACAGTCTCTTCTGTATTATATATAATTGCAGTACTAGTTTGTTCAATTTCGGAAGTAATAGTACGTGCTGGTGTTGTATATTCCATTGAAGTGGTTTTAACTTCAAAATCAGTAGTTTCAAACGTTGAAGTGGTAAAAGAACTAGATGTTTTATTCTCTAAAACATCGACGTTTGTTGTCAAAATTAAAGTATCATTTGAAGTATTAATTTCGGTTGTATTTAATATCGAAGATACGATCGTTGTATGTTCCGAGGACTCGGTAGTAATTTCCGTCGATATAATTGTCGTATCTGATTCATTTGTCGTACTTTCTGTAATAGTAATATTTTCCAATAAATTTCCAGTGACATCAGTTAGAGTAATCGTGCTTTCCTCCGTGTATGCAACGGTTAACATCTCCGTAGTGGATGGCGAAACACCCGTTGTTGTTTGTAACGTAGTGAGAGCAGGCTCGAAAGTGTGATCTAAATCTATAGAATGCAACGTCGTTGTACCACCAGGTGAACAACGTTTGTCATTGGGATCGCAATCACAAATAGGCCTGCGCGCTTCAACCCGACACTGTACTGCCAGTTGACACCCATTGATACAGGGATCAACGCAGGAGCTTTCGACGCAGGCTTCTGCGTCACTGCAATCATCATCGGACTCGCAAACTCGCTTGGGCATGGGATGAAGAACTGCTGCGGATACAATATAACGTAAACATAATATCTAATAAAGTGGCAAAACTGCTAATCGGGGAGCGACTCTGATTAGGCTAGGCTACAGATAAGTTTACAGTTTTTTATTTCAATTACTACAAATTAAGAGTTAAGAGCATGCTCGCATATAAGTAAGCTGATTGTAAGAAATATTATTAAAAGTCTTTACAGAGACAGATGTAACGGAAGAATCCTTCAATAGTAAGGAAAAAATCGGCAGAGTAGAGCGGGAATCTAGGGTGTGGGAAACTTGTATCTGTAACATGGAACCTGAAATATGCGTCCAGACAACAGAACAAAGAAACCTGTCAATTCAGATGTAACTTAATTATAAAAAGCGATGTTGTAAATTAAAGAAAAGCTAAATTAAAATCAAGTTGGTCAAGAGTGTAATCAAATTTTGCGCATATTCTGCTGTCTGTACGATCGGAAACCTGAAAAGTAGCAATTGTATGTCTCGTGTAAGGCCAGGCAATGTAAAGACGTGATATCGGCTATGAGAAATGACAAGACTCAGATAGTGTTCTGAGAAATTGTGTTTACCTTTCATGCATCCGTATTTAGTATCTGGCACAAAGCCGGGGGGACAGAACTTGCAGATAGGCTTGTGCTCCTCCACGTAACAGGGGGCATCAGCCGGACAGGTGGAGTTTCTGCATGGGTCCACGCAGCGATAGTTGCGGCACGCCAAGTCTGGAGAGCAGCCACTGTCTCGCAGGCAAATGGAGAGGGAGGGATTGCAGTTTTTGGTGCAAATGCACACGGGACGGTGGTCCAGGACATCGCAGATTTTATCGGCCGGGCACGGTTTTTTGTTTCGTACGTTACAGGGATTTTGACACTTCCCATTGACGCACGCGGTGTTCGAGGGACAATCGAAGTCCCTCGAGCAGGTGAGCGTGTCAGGCGCGCAGGTCAATTCCCCAATTTCGTTGACTACAAAGCCGTATTTGCAAACGCACATAGGTTTGTGATTCCGCACCTGACACCTCTTGTTGACCTCGCAGGCATACCGAGAACTCAAACACGGATCGCGGCACTCGCCTGTCTGCGAGTGGCAGGAGAGACTCTCCGGACAGTCGTAGTCGGAGGAACAACCGATGCTCGGCGTAGGTTTGGGATTGAGCGTGTCGCATTTGGAATCTGGATGGCAGGCCGTGTGAGGCATACCGATATAGCACTGCGGGCATGAGCAACGCGGCTTGTGCAGAACCACTCTGCACAGGGCATTGATCCCACAGGCACCGCGTAGCGCGCACGGGTCCAGACATTGTAGATTTATGCAGGCTTTTTCATTGGGGCACTCTAAGTCGCTGGTGCATTCGCGCTCTATTTGTCACGATAGTGGTGTTCAAGTCGGTGTAGAGTCGGTGGGTCGTGGGTGGTGGGACAGGAAAAAAAAAGAAAAAAGCATTTATAAGAACTGTGAAAAGAAACTTTCTCACAAATAACATAAACCACATGCTTTGTATTTATGATGAAAGTAGGGTAGGCTCTGTGAAGAGGTATAGAGTAAACGACTTTACACTTTTTCAAAACATCTTCTTCGGAGAAATTACAACGGCAAGCAGCGATATTTACAACACAAGCCCCCACAGATTTCAGAATAGGAGGAAATAATAACCCGTGAATATCAGCAAATATCAAGCATGGGTATATGAGAATGTCCCTTTCGCAGTTCCCAATCTGTATTAATCCTAAAATAGAGATATATCGTGTCGTAACTGTAAATGTGTACCTCCTTGTATTCAAGTGGCACTATAAAGCAAATGAGTGTCCTTTTGTTTATTCAATTATATCCTCAAGACAGATTGGATACTGAAATAAACATTCTACATATGAAGTTATGTGTGAGATATGTGTAAAACGTGTTCTCTCATCTCAAAATTATGTACAATATATCCTATGTATAATATTGTATAATATGTACAGGTAATGTTGTACTCTTTGCATATGGGTAAATATGTATATATATATATATACTATATATATATATCCAATGTCGTGGCGACATACTGCTCCAATCACATCTGTCTCTCGATGTTAACATTTTCACTCGATTAATACGTCTATGTATTACTTAAGACCTACTAAGACGATACATGGTTATTCTACGGACCATGTTCCTGTGATTGTCAGTATTGCTCGCTAGTCACAAATGCTGTACATATAATTAATCAACCGGCTCGGTTAAAAAGTTAGTAGGCCGTATTTTCCTACCTGTTGTACACTCGATATCTGGCGAACCGCTTGTACCTGGTGGACATCGGCAGACGAATATAGCTCCGTCTCTAATGCACTCGGCGTTCTTCCCGCATCCATTCGTTCGGCAGTCTCCTAAATCTCTATCTGAGCTACCTGTGTCATCAAATTATTAATGACAATACCAATCAAAGAAATAAATTATTATCAGCATTAATTATCTTGCCGTAACATTAAAATATCTTTTTAAGATATTGCGTAGTTATATATTTTGATATATACTTTTTTAAATTTATTTAAATCTAATTATTGTAATAATAATATATGTAGAAAGATTTCTTTAAAAAAGATTTATTTATTATGTAAGCAGCCGGTATTGTGTTATTTTTCCTATTAATGTATGACTTGTTAAATCGAGTAACATAAAAAAGTAATACGTACATGCGTGCATTGGATCGCCCGATGGATTATTCGGTGGGCAATAACACTGCGGCTGATTTTTATAAATTCGACAGGCTGCATTGATACCGCAACGAGTGTCTTTGCAAAGATCGCCGTCGCAGAGACACACCTGATGCGGATCGCCATGACATCCTGGATCGCACGTGCATTCGAAACCATTTAGAGTTTCTCGGCATTTAGCGTTAATGCCGCAAGGTCTTCGTAAACATTCGTCTCCGCCTGAGAGTAATTAAGAAATATAAAGAACGCGCGTATTAAAAAAATTTTAAAAAATTATTGTTTTGTTCACGAGTACAATTCCTATAAATATTATGGACTTACCTTTCTTGCAGTTGATCTTCGGATTGCCAAAGTGTCCCGGCGGGCAAGAGCATTGTGCCTTCCTACTGATCACGCGGCACTGTGCATTAAAACCACAGACGCCGTGCTGCAAGCACGGATTTGTGCAAACCCCGTATTCGCTGCAACGTTTGTTCGGCTCGCAATCGTCGTCGTGATGGCATTCCAATTGGTAGCACTCCTGGCTCGGTTCACCCTGATAGCCTTCTGGACATAAACACACCGCACGATGACTCGAGACGCGGCAGAGTGCGTTAATTCCGCAAGGCGATCCATGGGCGGAACATGGATTCTCGCACTGGCCATTTGTGCACGACAGCGATGACGGACAGTCGGAGTGGGTGCGACAGCCGACGAGGCACAAACCTCCATCGCATACGTATCCCTGCATTTTAGTAAAACGTATAATTTTTAAATTAAAAGTTTCACAACGTTAACATTAATTCAAAACTCAATAATAATCTCTCGAATTTTTCGTAGAGTTTACCTTTGGACATGCGCTGTTGATATCGCACTTGATGCGACATTTGCCGCTATGACAGACTTCGCCGCAAGAACAATCGTTCTGATGGTGGCAGCTGGTGGTACAGAAACCGATTTCGTCGCACTCGCACGAGCCGTCGCAGGGAATCATGGTCTTGGCGCAACTGATTAACGCATTGCCGTAATAGTTCGCGGGACAACTACATTGTGCCACGTGACTGACTACTCGACAGCCGGCACATTCTCCACATGCTTTGCCACCGTCGCATGGGTCTGAAAATCATAATGAAATTGCATTACTCGATCGTAACAGGTGTATTGAAAGTCTAACGAAAAATCTTATATGTGAAACTATATTTACTTCTGCATTGATTGTTGATACAAGACTCGTCGCCTGGGCATGTGTTGTCACTGCGACATCCAATATCACACAGGCGATTGAGACATATTTGATTTGCGAGGCAGTGGTCATCGCTGTTGCATATCGCTTTACAAATGCCACTGTCGCACCGTTCGTCGCTCAAGCAATTCGCGTCGCTAAAAAGATATAATTATTTAACATCAAAACACCATGATAACTTTATGCGATTTATTCATTAGTCATGTATACTGACCTTCTGCACGTGGAATAGCACGATCTGCCGTAACACGTTTGTCCCGGTAAACATTCGTGTTCGGATGAGCAAGGAAGGAACGTCTGTTTGCAGCCGATACGAGCATCTCCCACCAAGGGCGATGGACAAGTACATATCTTTTGGTGATTGACGATTGTGCACTTGGCGTTTACACCACAGGCGCCGACCAACGAGCACGCATCTGTTGGCAAAGAATAATTGGATATAATGCGTGCAGAACACAAGACGGTTGATAGAAAAGTGAGTCATTTTTGATTTTTTCATTATTTGTACGTTATTTTGTAAATGTGTTGTAAAAGGATAAATATATGCATTATTATTTCCATTTTGTTCCATACTGTAACTCACTGTTCAAAATTTATTTTATTCTACGCATTACGCAATAGAGATAAGCAAAAAGTAAATTTAACATGATATTAATGTTGATAGAATTACTAACAAAAATATAAAAAATATCGATAGGACCCACCTATACACTGGTTGTTTATACACGCGTAACTGTCCTGGCATTCAATGTCCGCCCGGCAACCGGAAATACACATCAGCCCCTCGCAAATCTCGCCGCTTCTGCAATCTTCGTCCCGTCTGCAAAGTGACTTGCAAATGCCGGAGCTGTCGCATCTCTCGTTGCTCAAACAGTTCGCACTGGACGAGCAGACAGGTGTGCAAACGCCAGCGATGCAAGCCGCGCCCACGGCACAGTCCCGATTCGAATGGCATATTGGGCCGGGAGTTCTCAGACACGCAACTTTGGCGGTCGGATTTGGTATAAAGCCGGTAGGACAGGAACACGTGGCACGCTGGTTGAAGACGGTGCACTTGGCGTTTGGTCCGCACGGCGTAGCGTCCTCGCACGGATTCACGCACTTGTTCCCTAAGCAAGCCTCATTCGCGTTGCAGTCCTCGTCCGCACGACAGCCGAACGAGCACATGTTGTTCAAGCAGATGTGACCCAGGAAACAGTCGTTGTCCAGTCGGCAGGTCAGCAAGCAATTGCCGTAGATGCACTTTTCATTCAACGCGCATTCATCGTCGACGGTACAGATCGGCAAACAGACATTCTCACGACAGGTATTGCCTCCGCTACAGTCCCCGCTTCCGAGACAGGACACTGGCACTGCAAAAATAATAAATGTTTCACAGAATGTGCAAAGAAATATTGATCAGAAAATGTTCGAAATGTTGCGGAATCATTCGTATACTTACGTCTTACGCATTCCACTTCGGAATTGCCGGTGAAGCCTGGTGGACAGCTGCACTGTTTAATGTGACTTCTCACTTTGCATTCGGCGTTTATGCCACAGGTCCCTCTCACATCACACGGATCTAAGCATTGTCCGTTCAAGCAAACATCGGACAAGTTACATTCCTCATCTGATTGGCAAGATGCTGAAATGATATCATTTGCGTTATTAAATATAGTAATCAAATTATTACTTAGGTAGATTGAAATCATACAGAAACGTTGATTAAAATAATCCTAGCAAGTTTAAAATTCAATAATTATTTACTCACGTCGACAAATACTCTCGTAACAATAGGTATTGACCAAACAGTCGATTTGTGACGAGCAAGCCACTGGTCTCGGACGACATCCCACGCTCAAATTATTAGGATCGCCTTCATAATCGGCACGACATTGACAACTCGCGGCATGATTGCTCGCGACACAATCTGCATTTGGACCACACCGGATACGTGCGCAAGTATCTGGAAGATTAAATATAACATATACAATAAATATACACATTTCAAATCCCACATACGCAAGCATTAAAGATATAATATGTAAAGAAAGTCATAAAACTACAAAAATGTAATAAATATAATAATAATATAAAATAAATCAGAAAGATTCAACATACGTACCGAAACATTTCGGTACGTTATTGATGTTGACACATTTGGCAGTTAGTGGACAGTCCGCGTCCTGAAGGCATTCTACCGGTGGTTGACAGCCGCTGTTATAAGGATCTCCAACTGTGCTAGGTTGACAATGACACTTGAAATGCCCTCGCGTGTTCTCGCACAATGCGCCCGGTGCGCAGGGTGCGTTCGCGCAGAAATCTATCAGCTTGCAAGCACGCGTGGGTTCTCCCGTGTATCCAGGTTGACACGTGCAAACCTATACCATAAAATCGCACGTTATCGTAAAGATTATCGCTGTGAAAAAATCTCTAGTGCAAAACAACGAAATAATTACCTGAACATGTTTTTCTGTTGTGCAAATGGCGTTCACGCCACAGGGATTGTGCGCGAGACAAGCGATTCTGCATCTGTGATAGTCGCAAATCTTCTCCTGTGTACAGTCATCGTTGACCTCGCATTCGATAGGTTGGCAGCCAATTTTGTCGTCTTTAGCGTTTCCGAAGAAACCGTGCTTACAGGAACACGTCGCGGCGTGATTATCAGACTTACATTCGGCGTTACGGCCGCAGAGTATTACGTCACAAGCTTTACGACACTCCGCCTTGATTGGTAAAAGAATACGAAAAAAAAAAGATATTATGTACTTGTTGCTCTGATAGAATCGATAAAAAAAATATTGTCACTTGCGACACAAAATTGAAATTTTATATTTAATAAAACGTAGGATTACCTGTCCAATATTATTCTTAATACATTTTTCGTCGTATGAGCAATCGTTGTCGGATGTACAACGTAATTCTTGAACACATATGTTATTATGGCAGTATTGATATTCTGGACAACTAGAATTACTTCTGCAGGTGGGCTGACAAAGACCATTGATACAGAGTTGGTCGCCGATGCAATCTCTCGTACTTCCACAAAGCGCTGCAAGTTGCAACAATCAGATTGTATATGAAAAACTTAGAGATTTGTAACTTATACAATTTGTATATTAATTTTACTTTTGATGTTAATTTACCTGTGCATATCCCTCCGTTGCACACTGAACCGGTTGCACACTGTGAATCACTCTTGCAATATTGGAGCGGAGTGCACCCAAGATTCGGATCACCTGTACCACCAGGTTGACAAGCGCATACCGCGCTGTGATTAAGCGACGAACAATCAGCACCATGTCCGCAAACATTAGATAGCGAGCAAGGATCGACGCACTTGTGGTTAAAGCACGCATCCGATGGACTACAATCGCTGTGATAGTTGCACTCCAGATGAATACATTCCGTCTAAAACAAATAGAAAATACATAGAAATCAAACAAAATAAAAAACCAATTAGTCATAAAAAAAACCTCAAAAGATTAGAATATCATTTGTATTATATCGATAATAATGATATTCTAATCTTTTGAATATCAATGTATGTATATCGATTATAATATGTAAATTACTATAATCCTATCTTAAAATTGCCGTGTTACCTGCGTTGATGCCTCTTTTCCCCAATGTTTAAAAATTCATATTTTCCAGAAATATAAAGATATAGACTTCTTTCTGGGCTCATCTTAAAGATGATTTTTGTGGCTATTTTTTATAAAATCGTGATTTTATTTAAAAATAGCCGATTCAAACGTCATTTTTTTTTAATTTATTTTTTTCAAAAATTGTTAAAATTTGTTTAATTAAAATCGGTGGTGATGGTGGGTGGTGGTGGTGGGTGGTGGTAAGTGGTGGTGCTGGGTGGTAGTGGTGGATGGTAAGTAAAAAAGAATTTTTTTTTTTAAATCACATGATATAAAAAATGGTCGTGATGAGTAGGTGTGGTGGGTGATGGTAGTGGGTGGTGGAAATGGGTAGTAGTGGTAAGTGGTGGTCGTGGGTGGTGGTGGTAGGTGGTAGTGGTGGGTAGTGGTGGTGGGTGGTAATGGTGAGTGGTGGTGATGGTGGGTGGAGGTGATGGGTAATGGTGGGTTAAAAAAAATTTTTATTTTAAAAATCACCTGATATAAAAAATTTAAAAAAAAAATTTTATTTTAAAAATTAAATGATATAAAAAATTTTCAAAAAAAATTTTTATTTAAAAATCAATAAAAAAATTTTTCAAAAAAAAATTTTATTTTTAAAAATCAAATGGTATAAAAAATTTTCAAAATAAAATTTTTATTTTAAAAATCAAATGATATAAAAAATTTTCAAAAAAAATTTTTTACTTTAAAAATCGCATGATATAAAAAATGGTGCTGTAGTTGTGGTGGGTGGTGGTAGTGGTGGTGGTGGTGGGTGGTAGTGGTGGGGGGTGGTGGTGGTGGGGGGTGGTGGTGGTTGGTGGTGGTGGGTGGTGGTGGTGGATGGTGGTGATGGGTAATGGTGGGTCAAAAAAAATTTTTATTTTTAAAAATCGCCTAATATAAAAATTTTTAAAAATTTTTATTTTAAAAATCAAATGATATAACAAATTTTCAAAAAAAATTTTTTACTTTGAAAATCGCATGATATAAAAAATAATGGTGGGTAGTTGTGGTGGGTGGTGGTGATGGGTGGTAGTGATGGGTGGTGATGGTGGGTGGTGGTGGTAATGGGGGGTGGTAGTGGTTGGTGGTGGTGGGTGGTGGTGTTGGGTGATGGTAGATAAAAAAAAATTTTTATTTTAAAATTTATGATATAAAAATTTTCATAAAAAAATTTTTATTTAAAAANCATATATATATAAAANTTCAAAAAAAAAATTTTTGTTAAAAATCACTGAACTATAAAAAAATTTCCAAAAAAAAAATTNTCTTAAAAAATCAAATTAGCCGTGTTATCTGCATTTGAAGCTTCTTTTTCCCCAATGTTTAAAAATTCATATCTTTCAGAAAAATAAAAATATCGACTTCTTTCTGGGCTTATCTTAAAGGTGAATTATGTGGCTATTTTCTAAAAAATCGTGATTTTATTTAAAAATGGCCGATTCAATATGACCGATTAAAACGTCATTTTATTGAAAATTGTTAAAATTTGTTTCATTAAAATGTAATTTGGTATAAATGTTATTGGATGATGCATGGAGTAACTCATATTAAAATACGCACCGCGCGCAAAGCGTCATTTTTTTTGAAAATTTATTTTTTATCAAAAATTGTTAATATTTGTTTTATTAAACTGTAAGTTGGTATAAATGTTATTGGAAGATGTACGGAATTCAATACGCAGCGCGCGCCTGTTATGTACTAATAATGTAAAAAAAACCTTAAAAAAAATGTTAAGAGAAGAATTTAAGACGCAAATTTAATACTTACTGCTGGATTTCCTGTAGTTTGTCCAGGACATCTACAGATCGGAACATGATCACGTGCAAGGCATTGCGCGTTTCTACCGCAAATGCCTGGTGCGTCGCATGGATTAGTGCATCTGTTGTCAATGCAAGCGGCTGAATTCGGACAATCTGAATCTGTGAAGCAGTCGCCGGGTTGCTTGCAACCAGTTTTGAATGGATCCCCTACTAAACCATGCGGACAAACACAGGCGAACGATCCTTCCGCGTTCTGGCATCTGCACATTTTTTAATGTTTTATTTTTAAAGAGATCTATAAATTATTTGCTCGCATAATCAGCTGTAATTGTGTCACTCACATTGCTGAAGAATGGCAAGGATTTTGCAGCAAACATTCGTTAACATCGGCGCAGGTGTCGCCGACGAGGACGAAGCCAGGATAGCATTTACACACGCTAACATGATCGACGGCTACGCAATTACCGTATCCGCAGTTTACTTGATTGCAAGGACCTGACAAAACGAATAATCAAAGATTTAGAGGCATATAATCATACAATCGTTTTCTTTTTCTTTTTGTTTTTTTTTTTTAAATTACAATTTCGTATTTCTAAAACTAATAAATCAAACGCAACATGATATTTATGCAAGCGTATCATAACTTACTGCTGCATTTGTTTATCTCTTGATTGCAATATTTGTCCGTCGGGCAGTCGCTGTTGGAAAGGCACTCTACTTTGAAGCATCCTGAGGCATCGCCGATGTAACCAGGCTGGCATTGGCAACCAGCCGCGTGATCCAGAACGGTACAAATAGTATTTAAGCCGCAGTCGACAAAAGAACATGGATCCGAACAGTTGTGTTGGACGCAGGCTTGAGTATCGAGGCAGTCTCTGTGCGCGTTGCATTGATGAGGCAGCACACAGCCCAATCCCAAGGGATCGCCCGCGGTACCCGAAGGACATGTACAACGATAAGATCCATGGAGATTAATGCACTCGGCACTCGGATGACACGGATGATCATCGCATTCGTTAATGTCCAAACAATGTTCGGGACCGGCAATAAATCCGTGGCTACATCTGAAAAAATAAATAAAGCACAAAAATTTAAAGATAACTAGTTAGATACTAGTTAGATACTAAAATGAGAATGCAATATACGAGTGATTCGATAAAATAAGTCTGGATTAAAAAGGCAATACCTGCACTTGCTGTTAATGCACACTTCGTCGCGTTTGCAGCCGACATCCGAGGTACAGCCCGCCTCGCACGCGCCGTCGATACACAATTCGCCGGGCAGACAATTACTATCGCCGTAACATATCTTCACGCAAATGCCATTCTTACAGCGCTCGCCCTGCGCGCAATTGTTCTGTTCCGAACATTGGCACTGACACAATCCCGAGACGCATACGTGCTGGCTGGGACAATCTTGCGGAGTGTGGCACGCATTTGGCACTCGAACGCAACCCTGCTCTGGGGTAGGATTACCGTGGAAGCCGAGAGGACACGTGCACGTGATCGCGTGATTCGTGCAACTGCAAATCGCATTTGGTCCACACGCGTCTTTCCTACTGCAAGGATCTAGAAACACAAATTTCTTGTTTTACTTTCAAGAACGGCGATATTGTCTTACATAAATTTATTGAGAAAAAATCATATGTTTTTAATACTTTTACTACCAGTGGCGGATCCAGAGAGTTGTTTGGGGGAGGGGCGGTATGATGAAACGTAAATATTTAGTTATTATTGTCGTTAATGTTATTTTTAATTATGTTTTATTTTTAAAAAAATTGAGTAAACATTATTTAGTCTCGAATAATCTGATAATTTTTTTTCTCAATTCATTTAAAACCGACTTTTTCCAATACTTATACGAAATTTGTTTGGAGAGCTCTGGGGAGATTGATCGTCCGCCCCCCCCCCCCC